TGTTGTGTGTACATCTGCTCTGGGCATAGCTGGGGACACCTGCTTCTCACCTCACCCCAGTCCCTGAAGTGTGAACCCCAGCTGCTGGGCTGCCAGGAAAATGCTTCTGTTCCTTCAAAGTGCCCATCTCTGCTTGCTGGCTGCCTGCTCTCACTCCCACACGTTTGGAGGCAGCACCTGCAGCACACCACATCTTGACCGAGGTCATGCACAGTAAACGTTTGGAAGTTATCTCATAAGAAAAGGAAGAACAAATAACACATCTTTGTGGAAAAGTAAAAGACAAAGTCTCCTGAATGCTTCCCTTGGTACTGCCCACACTTCAGCTTGTTTGATAAAGAATTTGATTTGCTGACAGATCGATAAAAGATTGGATGTTTCCCACACGGTTGCAGGGGAAACACTGAGCTATGTTGAGTCCCATGGCAAACATATAGAGATGACTTTAGGAGAAGGATTTTTTGATGGCTGTCCTGTTCAGTGAACTCAGCAAAGACTGGGTCTTGGAGGTCTGAGTGAAATAGCCTGTAGCAAAACTTACAGAGCTGTCAGAAAAGGAGAGGCCGCATTTTAAAGTGTAGCGATGCAACATGACATTCAAAATAACAGATAATGGGGAGTCACATAGGCTGGAAGCTTTCATCTGATCTAAATCAGACTTTGCTACCCTTCAGTACTTCAGTGGGGTGCCAGGCCATGGGCAGCACCAGACACTGCTGCTGGACAGGACTCTGCTGGCATGACTTTTTTTGGACATGAACACAAATAACCTGAGCAAGTGTGAGACATATCAGCTGTTCTCATACCACTTACAGAAAGGGAAGAGCATCTGAGAGGAACTCTTTTGTCTTATAAAGACAGAAAAAAAAATACAATTTTGAAGTGGAGACTTTTCTCAGGATGGGCTAATGGCACTCAGAAGTAACTCAATACCCATTTCTTGTTTCTCAAATAACCACTAACACAATTCCTAGTTGCATTCTTTCCTTAAAAATTAAATGGGAGAGTATCATAAAACTGAGCTATTGGTATGCCAGAAAAGTATTTGCACAGAGGTTTTCAGTTTCTGGCCATAAAAGAGAAGGTACAGGAGGTAGGAAATTTTGGTTAAAACCTGGTAAAAGTAGTGTGGACTTTTGGACTATTATTAAGATGTCTGATCAATAAGGATAACATGATGAGAGAACTTTTTGTTGTAGGATCAACTTAAGCACATCTCGTTCTGTTCAGAATCTGTTTTCAGTTCCATCAACTTTACCCTAGTGCTAACCAGTTGATTTGACTGGCATAATTTCAGATTACATTATTGTAAGTGAGATCAAGAATCTCTTTCTTTGCCTCCAGGAAACAGAATAGCCATTAGGGGAAATATGGGACTATACTTGTTGTAACTCCCCAGTGTTTTGTTTTGAGTGCAAGTAAGTGTGACTGGTTTCTGCAGGTGTTTCTGAAGAGTTAGCAGAATATTCTTTGTCACAAGCTCAGATGTAATGGTCTTAATCACAGTGTATGGCTCTCCTAGCTGCCACAGGACATTTAATATGTTGGAAAAGGTGTCTCTGTTCCCTTGTAAAAGCCAAATTTGCTTTTACAGCCATTGCCCATAATGCAGCAGGAGAATGGTGTTAATAACCATTTCATTGTGGCTGCAGGAATCTTCTGCACCCCTCCAGGGAAGAAGCAACATTTTCATCTGTAAATGGCCAACGTGTTACCTTTGGAAGCTTTCGCTCCTGGGATCCAAATGCTTCCTTGCATGCATAACCTGTGCTGCCTAATTGTTCTCCAGGGGAGCAAAAGTAGGTTGGGGGGTTGGGTTTTGGTTTGTAATTGATTCTGGCTTTGTTTGAACGTCTGAAGGCTGTGGGTATGCACGGTATTCACACAGGGAAAATGGCAGCCATGGCTGTTTAATGGGAGCAGTGGGAACTGTGAAGTCTCAAGGAAATTCTCAGGAAGGATCATACAAAGGCTCCCTGGAGCTGTAGGCAGGGTTGGAAAGGGTTGGGTATGCTCCTTCCAGGCATGTGGCGCCCTGAACTCTGTGAAGGGCTGTAGAATGACACAAAATGTTTTGCTGGGTCTACAGAAGCTTTGGAAATGATTGGCTTTGGAAAAAAAAACAAAAACAAAAACAACTTACTCCTTGTTATAGAAAATGGAGTGGTCTGGGGAAGTGTTTGCACTGCAGTCTAAGGCTGTAGTCCATGCACAGGATTTCAGTGTGTCCATGTCTTTGCCTGCCTTGGTACTGCTACCTTGCTCCCAGTTTGTGCAGAGGAAGTAAAGACTCAGAGGTCAGCAATGAGTGTTTTTGAAAAACCAAGCAGTGACTGCATCTCCCACAACTTGGAGAGAGGAATCACAGTTTGTGTCATTTTTAAATACTTCCCACATTGTCTTACTATTTCTTTAGCTCATTCTTCCCCCCTTTCACTACAAGAATTTAATTTTCTCTTTATGAATAAGAGTTAGCTGATGCTTATAATTTATTTTTTTAAATGTACTTTGATCTCAGACAAAGTTTGATGGAATTAGTACTCTAGTAATGTGTCATGGGCATGATCTTCAACACTAACCCCAAGGCAGTTTACCTTCCACTGGGAAATGAATTCCCAATGGGAGATGAAGTTGCTTGGCATGAGTAAGAATAAGGTCACTTGGTCTAAATGACTAATTATGCAGTTTAGTACTTAGCTTTTGGATTCCAGTTTTGACCTCTAAATGCAGAACAAGTTCCAGATGTAGTCAGTAGTGACTTCAGTTAGAGGCCCTGATATGGATTTTACTGAAGTGCTGCTCCATTCACATCTAAAGACACTCCTGGTCCACAGCAGTCCCAAAAGTGGAGTTCAGAGGTGTTTCTGCTCCCTGTAAATCAGAGAGATGGTTGTCTTGAACCAGGGCTTGGACCACTGGATTCACACAGCCACCTACCAGCTTTGGGCTACCAGTGAGCATTTGTGTGCAAATGTGTATCCACTGAGTACATAAATTATAAATTAAAGGTATTCATTCATCTGGTTTCTAGCCAAAATTAGCTGAAATGCTGCTAATCATTAGGTTTTTGTTCCTATCTGAATATTGCTTTAAAAGCCTTTGGTTTAATCTGCTTCCTGTCTTTTCCCCCAGTAGTTTCAGTGACTGGAAAACAGGAGTTCTGAGGTTTTTTTCACAGTTCTTCTGTTGCTTCCCTCTTACCTCTATTTACTCTCTTGAACTAAAACTGGGACTTAGATTTCGTTGTGGGCATGTATATTTACCTCAGTGGTCAATCAAGCTGAGAAAATCTGGCTTTATCTCAGTCTCTGTCTTTTAGATGATAACAGGAGGGGCTTATCTACCTCTCAAGAAACTGTGAGATTTCTTAATTATCAGTGATCTACTCTGTGATTAAAAGTGGGTGTTCCCTAGGTATCTTTTGAAGAGGAAATGGAAGAATATACTGAGGAAAGGAGGAACCATTTCAGCAAGGTCAGAGGTGTCCTCAGCACGTTGTGCAGATTGTCTGTCCAGGCTGAGCAGTGAGAGTGCATTGCACAGCATGCACAGACAGTTCTGTAAACCGTTTTCCTATTTAAAATCATCCAAGTGGAACAAACTTACTTTTTCAAGTCACAACCAGGATCATACTCACATTTCAGCAGTGGGAAGGAAAAGATAAAAGACAGAATTCAGCTTTCAACATGCTGGAGATTTTCTGTGGCTCCACCTCTGCCCCTTCCTCTGTCCTCATTCCCAGTGTTTTTGAACTCTGCCTGCAATGCATTTCAGTGCTTGCCAAGATATCTCTAACTAGGGGTGAGTTAATGAGAACATCTGGCCAGGAATGAGGGATGATGCTCTGTGACCCACCCACTCAGAACATCTGGTGGTTGTGGGCATGGACAGGGGAACTTTACTGATCATTAAGGCTTCTGCAAGGAAAGAGGATTTTATCATCTATGATATGATATATATATATACATTTATATTTATATATTTATATCTATATATATTAAAATAAAAATATTTTTCATAAAATAAAAATAAAATTATATATCATACATATATGTTATTTTGTCATCTATGGTTTATTAAAAATACCCAAATCCAATAGGTTATATAAAGGGGCTTTCATGTACATGGGAGAAATGCCTATAAATAAGTGCACACACACACACACACAAATATACACTTTGTAATATAATTACAGTACACAGTCAATGTGTAAGAATGTGGACTGCCTAAAAAACTGTGCTTTTAGATAATTAGTCCCAAAAGTCCTAAACTGGTTAACCATCAAGGCAAATTGCAAGAGACCTCTCTTTGGTAAGGGCTTCTTGCAGGGTTGAATATACACTCTCTCCAAAGGGAGGAGAGGATGAAAAGAGTTTATGTGGTTGGTTGGCAAAGTTCCTTTTTGAAATTATTATGTGAAAGCCGCTGAGTTATTTTTGTCTTTCTAAGGATGAACTAAGGTGTCCAGATACCATTGTGAACATCTTTTTATATATAGATGGATGTAGATCTATATCAATAAGTACTGATGCTCTGCTCTTGTTTTGCTTTGCTGGTTAAAAGAAAAAAAAAAAAAAAAAAAGATGGATTTTTCAGACAGCACAATGAATCACCCATGAAGTGAAAACACTGGGCAAATTCTCTTTTGTTTAATAGAATGGCCTGTACACAGTTCAGGCCAACACATTTTTCATGGGATGCAAGGGAGCAGTTCAAAGAATTGGCAAGAAGTGGGTCTTGCATATTCATGAGGCTGGGCAAGGAGGTGAAGGTACAGGAGAAGGCAGAAAAGCAATGTGAGGATAGAGTGGAATGTGGAGCGAGTTGCCACGGTATCCTATTTTACTGCTCTTTGACGTAAAGCTCCTTTGCTTTTACACAACCGCTGGAATTGAATGGAAGCAGCTCAGGGGCATAAATAATGAATGTGCCTCTCACACGTTAAGAGAGGAGACTGCACCTCGTCAGAGAGTTAATGTGCCACTCTCTTCTCTCCCCAGTCTCCAGCCTATGTTCCCGAAGTCAGTCAAGAGCTTATCCAACAGACAGAGGAGAAACTCCAGAACAGCCCCTGCAAAGAGCTGTTCTCTCCCTGTACAAAGTAAGTATAACACGACACCCGAAGATCACAGGGCTGCAGCAGCTTGTGAGGAATGTGTCAGGTAGAGACATTTCAGGCTGAACCCGTGGCAGGTATCTTTGCTCACAGTCCTAAAGGCAGAGCTGACAAGGGGTGAAGTCATTTCATCTGAACAAAATATAATAAATATTTCCATGCCATTATATGCGCTACACACAGGCAGTTACTGTTTCAGGTATTTGACAGAGTGTTCTAGCCAAGGAAACCAGCCGTGGATTTCATGCTGTGTGAAAAGAGCTACAATGATAATGTATCCAAAGAAAACATCTCTGTTTCAAAGTGAATAAAAATTAAGTGGCTATACAGTCCATTTAGACAGAGGAATGTGCAAACTTGCTCCGCATGGCTTTTCCAGAAAGTCTTCACCAGGAGAACGGGGCTTTTTTAATGCTTTCTGTCTGTCTGTGGCGTTCAAACGAACGTGCACTATTTCACCCTTTGCCTGGGAAAAGGCTTATCAGTTTCTGCAGCGATTTGTGCCATTATGTGCTAAAGCTCCAGGTATGCAATCTGCATTTGCAAACCCTGCCCCATCCACGCCGGTAGATCATAAAGCAATAAAAATATGAAAAGGAGGGATCGTCGCACGCGGGCCCGTGTGGTTTCTGGCTGAGCGCCGTTTGTTTTCCCCGGGTGATGTAATGGGGATTTGTAAAATTTGCTCTGCTGTCATTCATTGTTTTGACTCATTTCATTGACCTTTTCTGGTTCCAGTTATTCTTTGCGTTGGTAGGAGCTGTGGGTTATTTCTGGCCTTCTCTTATAGCACAGGCAGTTTCCTTGCACTGGCCTGGTGTCCTGTAGAGATGCTCTGTAACTCGCACCGCTTGTGGGTGCCAGTCCCAGTGACAAAGGCAGAGCTGTGCTCCACACAAACCCCCCTGGTGCCTGTTTCCAGTTCTCAAATCGGTTTGAAAGCTCTAAAATGCACTTTGTTGTTGCCAAAGAGGGGAACTAAAAAGCAAACAACTGCTGAAAGGCAGCTATTGTTCTTTCAAAATACGTGCAGCTTTTAATTAACTGAATGGAAAGGGCGAGCATTGGACACCACTTAATGCAGGCTCCTTCCTTCATCCCAGCTGAAACTCAGGAATGAGCCAGGTTTGGGAGCTTGTTAATAAATATGCTGATCATTTCACACGGACTAAAATGAGGTCAAAAGGAAGCTTTAAGGACTTGCTGTTGGTATTTACTGGTACTGAATAATGTTAATTTTGGAAGGGTTCACACTCAGACCAGAAAAGGGAGGCATACATACAAATATGAAGCCTGCTGTCCTGTAGGAGCAGGGATGAGATGAGTTTCATTCACATCTTCATAGATAAAAATCAGTCTGCAAGAAAAACGTGTCTGTAACTTAATTTCTGCCTTTACCTTTAATATTTTGACTGTCTGCTCCTGCCTTCCTCCAGATTCACATAGAATTCTGATACTGAGTTTGGATATTTGTTAAAGCAAATGAAGACTTACTTTTTAAATTTTATTTTATAATCTTTAATCCATCAGGAGAAACTGTTATTATCTGTGTCCAGTCAAAGCTAATGAAGGCAGCAACAATTTGACTTGTGCATACTGTACATGTGTAGTTACTGCCTTCTCCAAACTGATGGTGCAAGAATCACAAAGAAAAATAATAATGTAACAGCTGAGAAATACCAAAAATACTAGCTCATGATCAGGGAGGAACTAAACTGAGGAGACACATTACTCACGGTGACTTGTTTGCTCAGAGAACTGCCCCAGGCTAAGACATAGACTATCCATCCCCAGACTAGAGCAGTCATTCAGAGAGGATTTCTTCCTTCCAGCAAGATCTGGAAATGTGTCTGTATTCCCTTAGAGAGGGACACAAACGTGTCTGTATACAAACCAGACAGAAATGCTCATTTCCTTGGGCCCTTTTCACCCAAACCCAACTTCTCTCCTGCCAATGATGCCAGCAGAGGTGGATGCAGGAGCCCCAGTAAGCAAAGCAAGAACTAGCACCAGCAGATGCTAAAAAACATGACCACCTTCATTTTAGACAACTCCCAGCTCAGTTCATGTTTTCTTAGTTCCAAACCTTTGGCCTTTCTGACAGGATGCCTGATGCTCTCTGGCTGTTTGCTGCCTGTCACAAGCGACAAACTTTCTCCTCACACTTGCGGGCTGACCTTTTTATTCCTTTATTCCTTCCATTATGCAAAAGACTGCATCCACTGCATGAGCCCCAAAATTTTTTTCTTGATCCAGAAGCAAATCCACATCCCTGTTCACACTTTCCTTCCCTCTGTTTTACTCTACAAAGCACATAGCTGTTAGGAAATCCCCTTTGACTTTAGTCACACATACTAATTCTTCCATATAGCAGGAATTGAAACTCATCTTTTTTGGTCAAAATGATGTCTCTGATGATCTCTCTTTGATAGAAATGGGCTTCAGCCAGAAATTTTCTACCCAGATGTAAACATCCCTCAAAGTTTGGGAGCTCAGTTCCTGAGGATGTTGTTTCAGTTTACTAACAGAAGCAAAGACATTCACTGTCTGGTGGCTAACAACCTCTCTAAAAGTCCATTAAAGTCAGTGGGAGTTGCCCTGGTAATTTTCAGCAAGCACCACCAGTATTCAGCTTGTATGAGGCCTCCTGTTATGGAATGCATCAAGCACATCACTTTGTTTCTATATTGAAACAGCGAGCAAAATAAAGTACAAAATAAAGTTGAAATAACATAATCCTACCGTAAAGGAAGTCTGGATTTTTCTCCTCTTGTTCTGTTTGTCTTTTGCTCAAAGTTCAGGATTATAAAATGCTTATATATCCTTTTCATCTGAGATAGATCTGTCCTTGACCACCTCAGTGGGGAACCATTCCAAGAGTACCTAAACAGCATGTACTTCGACAGGTTTCTCCAGTGGAAGTGGTTGGAAAGGTAAGTGTCACAGGATTATTTCTTTTAAAAATATAAATAAATAAATAAATTTTAAAGAAGGTTTATTTTTGCTTTCCGTGCAAAGTCTGCAGAATATGCTCAAAATCTGACAGTTGAGATAATGTTTGCTTCTACAGCTCAAGTGTTCAACCATTAAATGGACTTAGGTACATTAAACATATTAGATATGATTAATGTACATTCAGCATCTTCAGCTGCCTTTCTGCTTAGCTACCCTCTGAATGTGGTGACTTTTTGTCTGGACCAGTTGTCACTGTTATTAAATCACTCTAAACAGAATAAAAATGTGGAGTATGGGTTCTCTCACTTTATTTATTGGCTGGACATTCCTGAGCACATTTAATAACCAGGCAGCCTTAGTGGGTATTAATTTGCAAGGAAAGGGGCTTGTGCCTTTCCCTTGTCAGGGGGTGCTGGAGCAGACTGTCACTGCTGGGTGACAGTGACCTTGAGCTGGGAGAAGCCCCATTTTCCACAAATGGAATTAATTAGGGCAGATGGGTTAGGGCCGGATCCATGAGCGCTGTGTGTCAGCAGGACGCCTCCAGATCAAAGGGGCTGTGCCAGTTCCTCTCCCTGGAAAGCTACAAAGCTGCTGCTCAAGAGGGGTGGGCAGAGGGAAGAGCCATTTCATGCCAAGACATGCTCCACATGCCATCTTTACTGACCCCAGCATTTACTCTTCCATTTCAATTAAAATAGCATTGGGTGATTCATCTCTAGCCAGGCTATTTCCTATCTATTTTCACATTAGGAATAAGGAATTTTCTGCAATGCTTTGAGGATTTTTTTTTTTTTCCACTCCCCAATAAGTGTGACAAGCTATTGGATATGCCTGATTTAAAAGAAGCTGGGAGAATTGCTTTTAGGATTAGCAAAGAGATGTTAGTAGCATGGAGTGATCAACAGCTCCTTCTGACAGCCTGCTGGCTCCAAAGGAGCAGTCACAAAGTCCATTTATTCCAGGGACGTTGCTGAACATGTAGTTATCACTACTAATTGTTGCTTTTAACCCCAAAAGCATTTGCAGCAGCCTCATGGAATAATGAAAATAACAGCTTTTCCTCTTCCAGTTTTGACTGTCTGCATACTATTCTTCCCCTACTTTGAAAAACAATAATGGGCATTAATGAAAGGATTCACTTCAGCATTTATTCTTCATTGTCATCAATCTCATCATCCCTGTGGTGGGAACAGCCACGTTGCTGTGCTCCCTCTGTCGGCTGGCTGCCTGCCAGAGGGGAACAAGGATAGCAGGAATATCCATATCCACTACTGGGATCCTTGTAAAGCCTTGGTGGTGGATACAAAATGGGAACTCGCTGAACCTAGACTAATTCTTCTGTCATGTTACAAAACTTTTTCAGTAGCAAAGTAAAAGTTGGATGTAGAGTTGGAGCCATTCTGGTGGAGCAGATTTTGTGGGAAGCCTGGGAGATTGTGTAGGGATCGCGTCAAGTGATAGGGAGCACTCTGCCCCCAGGGACAGACTTATTTAACCTTAATTTAGCTCTTGCTCCCTTCTTGCCTGCGATGCTCCCCTAGGAATCAGATAGCCCAGAGGGAGTGGACTGGCCTGGATCTTGTCTTCCTGCTCTCCCAGCCTGCAAATGTCACATAAATCCACCTCTCCTGCTCCCAGGATTGTTTCTGCCTTTGATTCATAGAAGTTTCATGTTTTGTTTAACACACCAGAAATATTTGCTGCTGGTTTGAATTTTGGATCTCTTTTTTCTCATCTTGCTGGCCAAGCAAAGCAGTGTGTTAGCCCATCCTATATGTCGTGGGAATTAATATCTTACTGGAAGATCTCAGGCTTCCTCTTTGCTTAACAAAGGCCAAAGCTGTATAATGGAGATTCAGAACCCTCCTTGGTCCTAAGATGCTAACAGAAATTATACTGATGACTCACTAATGTGTTGTATTTTATTACAGCTTAATATGTTGGAATTGAAAAGTTCAAGCCATACATAGTATTGAAGTAATGTAATTACATAATTATATTATATAATACGATTACCTTGAAATAATGGGATTATATAATATTTATCTATTTTGCTTTTCAGAAGTGTGCTCTGAAATAAATAAATCACAGAGAGTGCATTAAACATAGTGTGGTGGGGGTTTTATTTATTTATTTCCTTTTCTTCCAGGCAACCAGTAACAAAAAACACGTTTCGGCAGTACAGGGTACTGGGGAAAGGCGGCTTTGGAGAGGTGAGCAATTCTGAAACTTTCTGTTATAAGAGTGTTTTTTACTTTTTAGACACTGCAGGTACAGGAGCCTGATGTGACAGAGGCTGATTCTCATTAATTGCTGACAGTTCTACTTAACCCCTCATGACACCATAATCTCAAAAGGACACTTTTGAGAGTTATTTTGTGTTCGGCTGTTGCGTTGACAGTGGAATTGGGGTCACACCCTTATTTGTATTTTCCTGGTGTCTGGAGGTGGCAGCAGAGGCAGGGGAGGTGCAGACTGAGAGATTACAATCTGCACAGACAAAAGGAGGTGGGAGAGGAAGCAGGCAGAGGAAAGTGAAATAATTAAACCGATATTCCACAGCAGGTTTGGAAACAGTAGTCAGTCCCCCAGCTGCCCCCGCCTAGGCCTGGCTCGCTGTCTCTGGCCTTAAAAGGACTAAATCAGAGGAGATGGTGAGGAGTAAAGCGCAGCCCAGACACAGCTTCGGATTACCCGGCAATTGTTCTGCTCCATTCGCAGGTCTGCGCCTGCCAAGTGCGAGCCACGGGGAAGATGTACGCCTGCAAGAGATTAGAGAAGAAGAGGATAAAGAAGAGGAAAGGCGAATCCATGGCACTCAACGAGAAGCAGATTTTAGAAAAAGTCAATAGTCAGTTTGTAGTGAGTATTGAGCTCCGTGGTTCCCTGCCCACCTGCTGGGCAGTGTTCTGGTTGAATCCAGTGTCTCCTCCATCTCCTGCTCCTGGAAAGGTGCCAGAAGCTGAATCTCTTTGCTTTGCACCTTAGCCCTGCTCCATGTGCCTTTGCCAAGTCTCACTTTAATCTCTGGTCCATGAACACAATGTGTTTTACAGCTGCATCAGGATGAGCTGTTCTTACCCAGCGTGATTACCTGAATTCCCAGGGTCTGGGAGAGACGTGCTTGGAGGAGACTGAAGGAGATTCAACCCAAACAGATCAGATGAACCTGGCTTGCAGAAACATCTAAGCAGCGAGGTGGAGCTGGTTGGTCTGATACAGGGCTCTCCTGAGTCACACCAGCTCCTGTGCCTCCTTTAAAACTTGCCTTAGATTAAAAAAAATTAAAAAAAAAAAAAAAAAGGTGTTATCTCAGCATCTGTCATGTTCTTTGTACTTTTAAGGAAACACTGTGTATACAACAGATGCAAGGTGTTTGTTTACATGTTTACTTGCTTCTGCCAGAGGATGGCAGATATTTTAAAGTGATGGGTAGATTTTAGCTGGTCTGATTTTTCCACGGGCACCCACCACAGCTTCTCAGGGATGATGCTGACCTTCATGTCTCCATGATGGTCCATTTGATCACCCCAGGACTGGGATATCTGGGCCTTCCAGGGAACTCATTGAGATGCAAAAAGGTGCAGCAGGAGATGTAGATTCCCTTGCTTACTAAGATTTCTCGTACATGGGAAAATAAGCCTGGAATTAGTATGTTTGTCCAGCCTCTGAATCCATCTGAGCCTTGAGAGTTTCTGGTGATAAATAGGCTGGATTCCAAAGTAATCTCTAGAATCCTAACATCTGATTTTTCTGTACTTTTAAGACATATGCTTGCCATTGTAAGAAAGCCCATACCAAATTCAGTCAATGTTTTTTTTTCAATTTCTGGAGAAAATCTTTAATGAAAAGCTAGAACATCCTTCTTAGCAGCCATCTGAACTGTCATAACTGTGCTGCAAATGTTTTTCTAGGTCAATTTAGCCTATGCCTATGAAACAAAGGACGCACTGTGTTTAGTTCTGACCATCATGAACGGAGGTGACCTGAAGTTTCATATCTACAACATGGGAAACCCAGGCTTCGAGGAGGAAAGAGCTTTGTTTTATGCAGCAGAGATTCTTTGTGGCTTGGAAGACCTACACAGAGAAAATACTGTGTACAGGTAAGCACTTTCTAGAGTCTTAGGATGTCTTTTCTGGGTAGGAAAGGATTGTCTGCTTCTTCCCTTCTTATTGTGGTGCTGTACAGCTGAGAGGCCTGAGTGCTTTGGCTGAAATTTCGCAGAGCCCTGTATAAATACAGCATGATACAGTAATCATGGAAGGAAACAGTTGCTTCCCTAAATACATCCTGTCTAAATTATCCAGAACTAGCACAAAGCTCCCCAAACCCAACCTCAGCGTGCGAAATAAGAAAATGATGGAAGTTCCTTTAAATGGATTTTATTAAGGAACCGAGTTGCTAGTTGGGATAAAATGGTGATCATCCATCCAAGCCTCTGTTTTAATTTGTTAGGTTGTGTTGCACGAGGGGCTCCAGCACGTCACATGTGGCAAAACTTCTATTGTAGAGGGCGTGCAATCCCAAGAGGGAATCTGAGAGAGAGGGCATGGATTTCCAGTGGTGTGTGATTAGCTAGATAGGATCACGGTGATCCTGGCGTGCCAGCCATGGAAGGGGGCCCATTCCCAGCCACACAACAGAGGCATCCTGCTGGCAGCATCCCACCATCCGTGGGTGCAGCCAGCGGGCACAGCGCTGCCCGGCACCGCCGCTGCCGCTTCCAGGACGGCGGATCCCGAGTTCTCAGCTTCCAGTTTGGCTTGCAGCTCTACACAAGCACTTTTCCAGAGCAGGCTGGATTAGCAAGCAGATTGCAGACAGAGTTCTTGTGACTCCACAAGGATTTATTTTTTTTAATCAACAGCCACTGTAGTTGTAAACAACGGTTAATGTTTGTCTTCATCATCCCCGCTTGTGAAATCATCGTTGCTGGCATTCACAGCAGAAGAGGGCCTGTAAATTGATGAAAGAACTTCCAAGGACAATGATTAATAGACAATAAGATGCTATTTTTAAAAGCCAAGCCACGCTTTAAATCATTTGATATGCCTGTGTGTAATACATATGATGTATGTGCTTGTATGCATAGAAATTGCAATATTGTTGTTCCTTGGAGATCTCTAACAAACTGACACTTGGTTGACTTGCATCTTTCTAGCTGGCACACAGAGGGCAGACAGATAACATGCTGATTTAGTTGGTGCTCACCCAAGAAGGAAGGTTTTTCTTTCCCCAAGGAACAAAATGGTACTAAGTGCTTAATGTCAATTGAAAAATCAAATCATCAGTGAAGTGTCTGGCTTCCTTTTCCCTTAGAAAACCTCCTACCACATTTTCAAATATTTTAGGAGCTGGTATAGTGTTTCACAATCATGTTTTATTGAAAAAAAATGACTGGTGCATTCATAACATGGCTGGTAAAATTCCATACTAATGCCATTTTCTGATAGAACAAATCAGATCTGGCCACCTAAAATAGTGCGTGGCTCTGAGAGAAATGGCACCTACTTCCTTAAGCAGGAGTTTTCATGCTACTCTTCCAAGAGCTGCTACTTTACACCTCAGATGGCATATTCATTTTGGTGATGAATGATACTACATCCTTGTAGGTGATATTTTCTAGCAGTATTTCAGGAGCATCTGCAGAGACCCCTCATTTGTAATAGCGCAGCGTGTTGTGGGACCCGTGAGAAGTGCTATATAGGTCAATAAAATATAGCAGCTAAATGCTGCTGCCTTCTCAAGGCGAATAATTCATCACAAAACACTTATTCTTTAGACTTAATTTCATTTTCTATAAACAAAATGCTCCTGAGTAAATCACAGCGTTGGAAAATGCATCCCCATCTCCTGGGCTGCTGCTGACGCATGCTGCAGACGTGACCCGGGAGAACAACCAGGCTCAGAGTCAGATTTATCTCATTCAGAATTCCCTTGTCAAACATGGCACTTGTGTTACATTTCTCAACTGCATCATTTTAGTAAAGGTCAACGGGTTGGTTGTTCATGGAAAGCAAATGTAAAAAGCTTCTGGTTCTCCACAAATTATATATATATAATTTTTATATTACATTATTTATATTGCATATTTATATGTTTGTTTTATATTTTTATGTGTTTATTTATGTGTGTATATAACATTTATTGTTTTATATAAATATATTTTATGTATGTATTTTTTTTTTAATTTATAGTATAGCCATGCCTGGAAGCTCCAGTCAGTATCCTGTTCACATTGTCCCAGGCATTGCACAAATACATGCATGGGAAAGCCTTGTCCACAGTGATTAATTGAGTTATTTAGGCTGTCCTGCACAGCCAAACAATTGCCTTTTGAGCACAGGCACAGTGCCAGCAGCTTATGTTTCAGTATGTTTGGGCAAGGCTACATGACAAACGGGAAGCTGAGCCTTTGGGATGTAGCTTTACATGCCAGTGTGTCCACCAGGGAGTTTTATTCCTCCTGGACATTTCAGTCATGAACCCTTGGAAGTGCTGGCCATGCGAAGGAAGCCAGCCTTGATCCTGAAGACCCAGAAATCTGAAAACAGAAATGACAGCTGATGTCTGGGAGGGGAGGAAAGCTTCCTCTAATTGCCCTGAATCACAGAGGACCATAAGAATTGAACTGGTGCTCTCAGAGTCCTTGTGGAGTCTCTCATTTTCTCTTTCAAAGACAACATTTCCCAAATTGCACATAAGATTCTTATCATTGGGCCTCAGTTATAGTTTTAAGTGGGACTAATAACTGCTGAGCAGAAGATGGAGAAACTGATGAAGGCTGAGTTCTTCAAGAAATGATCCTTACAGGATTTAGAACACATTTTCAAAAATAAATAGACAATGCCCTTGACCGTGCTGCTCCTGCACTGGAAACCTTCTGCTGATAGGCAGGGAAATACCACAGTGGGCAGTGGTATGTTAAACAAAATCACAGCTTCTCCTCAGTATTCAGCTGCCCTTCACATATTTCCACATTGTTTATTTGAAAAGTAGGCTTGGTACCATTGGGCACTGAGTGAGGTTTATCTTGGAGGTCAGGAAGATCTGAAGCAAGCAAGAAGAGGAGATTACTCACAGGGCTCTGTTCTTGCTTGAAATCATAAATAAAAACAAGGCAAGTTTTAAAATTCCAATCTTGGCATTGTCAAAACCATAAAATACCCCTCTCCATACACAGGAAAATTCATGATACTGGAGTGGCACAGCTTGAGGGGTGGGGTGGGCTCCTGCACAGGCTCTGTGCTTTGCCCTGTTCCCTGGTGCAAGAGTTTCTCTTGTACACACCCTCTCTTTGCTCTGTGCACAGAAATGCCTCTTGCTGGGAAGTTAACAGAACCAAGCTGGTTCACAGATGCAAAGGGGCCTTGCAAAAAGAAAAGGCCAAGCAGTGCTTGGATTTGCACCAGGCTAAGCACTGTCTTTAGCTAAAAGCCAGGGCATGATGTGGTGAATTGAAGCAATGCTGTTTTCCCTGCCTCACCCAGCTGCTGGTGCCTCATTCAGGCTCCTGAGCCAGCACAGTCCAGTCCTGGGGCACTTCTGGGACACTCCCTGCCCAGCATGCCCATCTCTCCCCTCTGGTTCCATCTCCCAGGCTGCCTTCATTCCCACTCTGCATGAGCAGGATGGGAAGGAGCCTGCCTGGCTCCCACCTCAACAGCAGCCCAAGAATGGCAGCAGCTGCAGAGTTGTACTGGGCTTGGAAGGGTTTGGAAAACAGCCTTGGTCAAGGAGGGGACAGCGTGGCTGGGCTGGGAAGCATCTCAAAGCAGCCACTGGTGGAGCAGGTTTTGTGCAGACAAAACTTTCAGAAGAATGATCTGCCAAGGCTCTGCTAAATATATGAAAACTGAGATTGTTTACTTCAGAAGTTTATACCTTGCCCATTTTTGGGGGTTTTTTTGGAGGGTTTTTTTGTTGTTTGTTTTTTTTTTTCTTCAGGAACAGTAAAACGCATATCTTTGACATCAGACCGACCACCTTGTTGCCAATTTTCATGGCATTGCTCCAAACCACACAGGCACTAGAGTTTCACAGATGTTTGTAAGAAGAATCTTAATCTGGGCACAGCATTCTCCCCTCTGCCCTGCATTTTCCAAACTCAACAAAATTATTGCACATGTGTGCAAGTGCATGGACACACATTCACATATTTGGCCTGAGTCATATCCCAGACATAGAAAATTTGAGCCCAAAAAATTGCTATTTCCATTTTCACATGTAAATAAAGTATTTTAAAACCTAAAATCTTTCTCTTTTTTTTTTTTAATGTTAGATTTTATAACAGAAAATGTTACAGAGATTTAACAACACACAGGACTATAGGGGTTCATTTACAGGGTTCACAGGACTAGATGGATGAGTCCATTATAGGGTAGATTAGGAACTGAAAGCTTGGCTTAGTGAAAAATTCTAACTCCAGTTTAGGAAAAGACATATGGTTTCAGTCTATCTGTGAAGTGAGTTATAAAAGGTTGTATTGGTTTCAGGAGTTCCTTGCTGTTTGAGTTGACACTCAACTGGTTTATTACAAGTAACAAATGCACTCACGCAGTTGTATGGTTATGTTATCAAAACCAGCTTCATACCCATAACTTCTATCTTTCATTTCCAGAGATCTGAAGCCAGAAAATATCCTGCTGGATGATTATGGTAAGTCTTGGAGGTTTACAGAGATGCTTTCACAGTAAAGTAGATTAAGTTAGTTTTAGGATATATATTTTACAAAGACAAATAATGCTCTGAAGTGATTAAGAGGCTCAGCATAGACTAATATTCCTGTCTCGGGGTGGGTGAGCTGCTGGAGCTCGGTGCACAGATGGAAGGAAGCAGCCGTGTCCTCAGCAGGGGCTGTTCTCGAGAGCTCGGCGTTGCTGGGGCTCGCTGCCTTTCGCTGTTTTTCCATCCTTGTTGCAAGGCTGATGCAACACAAAGGGAGTTCTAATTTCTAAATCTGTGCTTCCCTCTCCATTTTTGAAAGTACTTTCATCCTCTGCTGAGCCAAGTCTGGTTTTATGCAGACCCAGGTACCCATTCGTTGCTGAAGGCAGTGATAATCAAATCTCCTGCTGACTTGCAGAGCAGATGTAGCCTCTTCAGCCATCACAGACTTACAGAACTGTGTCAGCCCATCCATCCTCTGTGATCAGTTCAAGATACTTCCCCACAGCATGCTTCTCTCTGCCTTTTTTCATTAGTTTTAAAATACCTAATACAATCCACTGCAGTCCACAGCCTTTCTGTTAAAGTTTACTTCACTGTGTTGCAGTGCCCTTAATAATTCCTCTTTTCCATATCAATGAAACTGTTCCAATTCAGTGATTCACAACATGCTTTTCTTAAAATGGCTGAGCAGTAAATTTCAGGACTATTTTAGCAATGATGACAGTTGTGGGTTTTGGACCAATTTGGGTCAGGTTCTTATATCTGCTTTGTGTTGTTTTGTTTCTTTTTTCCTTCCAGGCCATATTAGAATATCTGATTTGGGTCTAGCTGTTAAAATCCCCGAAGGTGAATCAATCCGTGGAAGAGTAGGAACAGTAGGGTATATGGGTAAGTCTTCCACACCTCATCTTTTTAAAAATCTGGAGTTTTAGAGATATTTCTGCCAATAAGAAAAGAGTAAGCTTAAGAAAAAGAATAAAAAATATTCACATTCATCTGGGTCCAGTTCCATGCAGCAACTTCCACAGAAATCCTGATAGTGAAATCCAGAAGAGGATGAAGGGATGGACCTCTACAGCTCTCAGTGAGGCTGGTCTATAAATCAGCAAAGAAAATTGAGAGAGGAGACAGCAACTGGGATTCTAGTGACTTTAGTGTAGATTTATCTTAGGAGGGTTATGTGCCAAAATAAAGGTTTCTTTCTGGTTGCTTTTTTGTATAGGAGTTACAATGTATTTGTATGGTTATGATAAAATGGGTGAGTCCACACCTCTGGTCATCTTGACCAGGGTCATCTTGAGCTTTCCTCTATGTGCAGGAGAGGCTGCACAAAAGACAAGTAGAGATTTGTACATTGGTAAAAAAAAAAAAAAAAAACCAACCAAACTACACTCCCTTATTTAACTAAATCTGTTTTCTAAACTCAATGTAATTATTTTCATGCATTCTCTGGGTGGGCATATTTCTTGGAGTAAAAATTGCTTATGCTTATTTGACTGAATAGAAACTAGCTGATGTGAGCCACTGTTACACCATATGGAGACTTTAATGAAAGCAAGCAAATCAGTTGTCATGTCTAAATTTTGTTATCTCAGTGTAAGTTTGCGTGCACACTAAGGCTCTGTGCTTGTGAGCACGTGTGTTTGTACCCATGCATGGAGGTGAGGGTGCCTGCTAGACAGTGACTATCTGCCCAAAAGCATTGTGTGTGGTTGCAACACAAAATTAATGGATTGGGGGATTCTTCAATGGGGAAAAAGAAAAGCTATAAATTGACCGAAGAGACAGAATTTGCTTTTGAAGAAATGTCACGACTGTTTATAGGATATGTGTTTGCATTTAATTTCTTCCCTAAATGGATAAATCTGAGGGAACTCTTAAAATTAGGTCTCTGCTTAATATTTAGATCCAACTTCTTTCATGATTTATTTTTTCAATTGGACTGAGTTGATAGAGAAGTCAGAAGACAGCATGCACAAGGCATGTAGCATGTAGAGAGAACACCATGGCATGTAGCATGCTGCATTTCCTGTAATGCCCTCAACTGCAATCAGGAGGTATTTTTGTATTTTACCCACCATTCTCTGTGCATGTGTATTCAGCCACCAAAATGAAACTTCTAAGCATTTAAGTGCTTTGCCTGTGTAAATACCAAGCATTTCCACAAGGCATCTCACTCTCCTCCACAGCTCCAGAGGTGTTGAACAACCAGAGATACACACTCAGCCCTGACTACTGGGGGTTAGGCTGTCTCATTTATGAAATGATTGCTGGGCAATCACCATTCCGTGGAAGGAAAGAGAAGGTGAAGAGGGAAGAAGTGGACAGAAGAGTGCTGGAGACAGAGGAGGTGTACTCCCATAAGTTCTCTGAGGAGGCCAAGTCCATCTGTAAAATGGTAAGGGGCTGCAAGGCCCACTGGGGCAGCTTCATTAATGAGCTGTGTCTGACACGGTCTGAGCAGTAACAGGGTGCCACAGAGGGGCTGCAGAAACAAGGGGCAACCAAGCTCATCTGTGGATGGGATGACTGCATTCTCTATTCATTCAAACTCTGTTTATTTGGGCTTGTTTCTCCATGAGATTCATCATGGTCATCCTGAGCCCTCTCCAAAGTTTTATGGCCAAGGGAGCGGTATCTATTCTCATGAGACTTTGAATGTTAGTTTGCAGTCAAGAATGCATTTCTGTCTTTTATAACCTTGTAGAAAAAAATTAAAAGGACTTGATGATGCAAGAATCTGATTGTCTCCTGCAAGGAACAGCAAACCCCACGCTTCCATTGTCTTTGGTGAGAGCTGGGGGTAAGCAGGACAAAGATTATGCAATGAAATTGTTGTGACACTCAAATGTTGTCCCAGCCCATCTCACTAACTTTGTTAGCAGTTTTTCCCCGGGGTGCCAGAGTATCCAGCTTTTCTTAATACTGTTGAGCTGTTCTTCAAAATGTTTTCTCACTCCTTCAGCTGGGAGTCATTTTCGTAGCACAATAGCCATGTCTGACAATGGAAATCCTCAATCCCCCCGAGAAATCTCAAAGCAGCGTCTGAATTCATCAATGTCTTGTTGACATCCATCTTTAGAAGGCTGAATTGTAATTTGGAAAAAGATGTGGACTTTTTCTGGGTGTTGTTTGCTAATGAGTGAAGTCTCCTTTGGAGACAATGACCTATCTGTTTGCTGGTAGAGGGAGAACGAAGGAGAGGAAAGGTCAACAAATAGGTAGGGAGAGTTTCACCAATGTCTTGTGCAGCAGGCAAGCAAAGAGCCCATCCACAACGCTCTGGTTGGTTGGCTGCATGAAGAGACAGTGAAGTCTCCTCACAAAATAATAATGGTAACACTGCCAAGTACCATGCCTGGAAGTCATTAACTCACAGTGCACCAAGTCATTCCTGAATCCTCGGGGTGGTAATTAGCTGACATCACTCTTGATAGATGCTCCGGGACATTCTCTGCCCTTAATTGGTGATGCAGAGCCCCCAGTGAAGCTGACACGGGAGGATCTGGGGCAGCCATGGGTTCTCACAGACCATCCCATGTGCCCCAGCAGGCACCACTGCCTTCTCTCCTCAGGTAGCATCTCAGCTCTCACCAGGTGAGGAGCAGCGCCTGCTGGAGTGGCAGAGAATTTGTGTGTGTCCTGCTGTTAATCTGAAATGGAGATGTGAGGCAAAAATTTTACCTTGCTGCTTGAGGCATAGAACTGGAATAGTCTGGGTTGAAAGGAACATAGTCCAACCCCCCTTTTCTGGCTGATGTACCTGTAGAAGCCCTTCTTGTTTCTCTTTATATCCCTTGCATAAGAGAATGAACATATACTTTGAAAATAACCATGAGAACATAAAGCTTAGAAGAATTAAATGTAGCATTGATGGAAACTGGTGTAGATGACCTACCACACTCCCAGGGGAGCAGACAGTCATCACACTATAGAGGTCTTTTTCAACTTCCAGCCATGGAGACTCTGGTTTCAGGGAGTCGGGACCTCAGGAGATCGTCTAGTTCTTTCTCTTGCCTCAGGGAAGCTTGGACTAAATATAATTATTCCTGAAGACTTGATCACTACTGCTTCCTTGTCCAATCACGTGGCATGTTTACTGAGGTGGTTTGTGCAAACTATTAATGGATCCAAAGTAATCTTTCCCTTTCTGAGCATTAATATCTTGTGGCAGGAAGAGTCTGAGTCCTGATACTGAGTTAGATGGCATTTGTGGTTTCCCATCCAAAAGTAATTTATTTTACCAAGTGATGTTTTTAAAAAAAAGATTATTCAAACATATTTTCTCAAATTCTTTTTGCTTTTTATATTGAAAGCCAGACCTTTGTTGCTTTGCATCAGCATCTTAACAAGGAAACAAAAGAGTAATAAAGTACCATCATATCTGCAAAATGAAGCAAAAAGTTGCAGTACATAAATGAAACTTGAGCCTTCTCAAAGACCCAACACAAAAGGCTTTCCCATAGTGGACTCTTCAGGGCAGGAGTGAGAAAATGTTTCCCACCATGTTGCCCAACATTCTCTTCAGAGCTTACTTCATGAGCTGACAGCATCACCACCAGGAAATATATTGTCTTTATTAATTTACTCATAGGAAACTCTTCTAGTGTCACCCCACATCAGCCTTCCCCTCCTGGATGTTTGTGCCCTTTGGCATTTTTGCAGGCATGTATCATAGCTCCTATTAATCATTATCCATCCCATATTTCCATGTTTCATTTTGTAAGCAATTTCCCATAAATGAGACCTCATTTTGGACTGAAACAGAGATGAATAACAAATAATTAGGAACAGGGGCAGCTGGCTTTCTGGGAAGCTCCCCAACCCATAGTTCCCATATAACATAGCTGCTCCTGGTGTGTTTTTTCTGTGAAAAAACTCCAGTCTTTCTAGGAAATGCTCCATGTTTGTTGTTGTTATGCCTCGTGCTTCACTGATGTACACGCGTGTTTTCCCTGACAAGTGCAGTCATGCATCAAAAGATGTGACTTGAAGTGCCTTCAAGTCAGCAGTGTTGGATGGGCCCACATTCCTGTGGTCTTCTGTCACTCTGTCAGTGCCCTGCTTGTCTGCATTTCCCACATACTTCTCTTCCCTGATGCCTTTTATCCCTGCAGCTCCTGTTTTACCCTACACAAGGGACCTCTGATGGGAGGGTGTAAAGAAGGCAGAGCCAAACGCTTGGTTTGGTGTCCCGTAGCAGGACAGGAAACAAGGGAAACAAATTGAGGCACAGGAGCAGTTCAGTTCCCTCTGAACATTAGGAAATATTTTTCCATGGTGAGGATAGCCAAACATTGGGACAGGTTGCCCAGAGAGGCTGTGTAGTCTCCACACTTGGAGATACCCAAAGCCCAGCTGGACAAGGTTTGGAACAGCCTGCCCTAGGAAACTCTGCTTTGAGCAGAGGGATTGGACTAGACCATGTCCATATGTGGCTTCCAGCCTCAGCTGTTCCATGTTTCTGATCTCCATTCCCTTTTCAAAGTACCCCCCACCAATTAAAAGACAATGGGTTCTGTTTTCCTTAAAAGCAATTTCTCCTGTTCCTTACTTACCATCAGGAGCTCTGTCATCATACAGCCACTCCTGCCTGCTGCCATCCCTCCTTTCTGCTTTCATCCCATGGAAATCAACATTATGACACCTTAAAGTTTATCAGTGCCCAAGGATAACTGCTCTTTCATCTCTCTTCTCTCATTTAGTAATTGACCACAGTATTGCTTTTCTATTCTCTAAAAATTGCTTAAAATAATATGTTTACTTCAGTGTCAGGACTGAACTTTAGCTAGGTGATTTCTTAAACTGCTTGATCAGCTGGGTCAATGGAAATGGTTTTACCATTCCCCTTGTCTCTTTTCATGAGTAGCAATTTTGTTTTCCTTACTCCTGTAATTTTAGGACTAATGTCTTTGAACTTGGAATTATTTATTACATGGTATGATCTGGATATGAACTGACTGATCACATGAAGATAAAACAGCACTTTGGGGACTTTTGGCTTTTTTTAGCAATCCTCACAACAGTTTTTTTCTTTTTGTAAAGGAAGCAAAACAAAGTCACGTAAAAAAATCTCAGACATTGCAGAGTTTGAATCCCCAGTGGGGAGCAAATGAGTGACATGAAAGTATCAGAGAGCTCTTTATATAAGATCTTGATGGAACTTCACTGCTGCTACTCAAGACTCTCTTTGAAAGTGCTGTTCTAGTCATGCTCTGCCCATGAACCCTGTAGACTAAACCCTACAAGTCAAGTGTCAACTGGAGCCTTTTTTACCAGAACACACGGCTCTGCTGTTTGGCATTAACTTCATGCATGGTTGGGTGGCCCAGGCCATCTCCAGATTTAAAACTGTGAATTATCTGCAGGCTCTACTGTAGAATTACATTTAAATTATGTTCAATGGGGTCCCTTGCACTGCTGTCCCAGGAGGGCTTGTCATCAGCCTGATGGAGTTGCTTTTGTTTTCTCTATTCATATTAAATGAACCCTTTGAAGCTGAATTAAACAAAAGTGTAGAGATGACTTATGACATACTGTTGTTATCTCCATTTTCTTTTCCATGTCAGATTCCCAAATGGGATACATATTTCAGGCTCTTGCATGGGTTTACTATTGCAGAAACCTTCTGGGACTGCAGGAAATGGTAAAATACTTACTGTTCCTTGGTGAAAGGAAGGATTCTCCCTTCTGGAAAATATTCTAGTCCATGCTATATCTTGATATCCACAACAGAAGCCAGGAAGAATGTCTGGTTTCACCTGTTGCTATCTCTAGATTTGGCCGCATCTACAGCTTTTCAAATTCCATTTATTTCTTACATTTTTCTCCATTGTGACTCTCCTGGGACTCTCAAGAGACTGGCAGCTGCTCCCCTGCAGCAGGGTTTTGCAGGAGAATCCTCTCCTTTCTGTGTTCTTTCAGTCCCAGCCTATTCCCAGTGGCCTGCTCCCTTTTGTGTCTTTCAGCCAGCACTGGCCAGCCACCCACAACCAATGGCATTCATGCTCCAGAAACTTCCTTCTTGCATCTGAAGTTACTGAATACTCCCTTGTTTGTCATGGAGGAACCCAGGAATCCCCAGGCAGCCTTATTCTGTCCTCAGCTACCCTTTTCTCTGACCGCATACTCCAAACATCTTACAGCCTGACAAGGGCAAATTCACAGATCAGCTTGGTCTCCCCACTTAGTCCAGAATCCAGACTGCAGAGATGGGAAATAACCCCCTTTTCATCCCTTCAGAGCTGACTTTGAGAGCAGAGACTGCAGAGGTCTCCTGTGTCATCTCCAAGCATGTCCAAATCTATCCCTTCCTACTGCCACTTGCTCCTCAGCTGTTCCTGAAAGGTCCAAGGTGTCATTTCCAAAAGTATATCAGAGCCACTAAAAATGATCTTTCTGCTTTCAGATTCTTCTTTCCAGCTGTCAGGAAAGTCCTACTGACATGAGAATAAAAGATTAAAAGAGCTTTTCTTTGCCCAGCCAGAATAGAGCAAGCCTGATTCTGACTGGAAATTCCAAAGTGACCATCTTCAAATAGACTAGGGCATAAAACTGGATTTAAAAAAAACAAAAAAACCCCAAATCCCTCACAACAAGAAGTGCTAGTCTCAGGACTATGAGAACTCAAAGTCTAATGTAATTATTTGAAAGCAAAGCATCCCTCTTTCCTTCTAGTAGGGAAAGCAAAGTGCAGAGAAGTGCTCTGCGACAGGTCTTTTGCAGTGAGCCAGATGGATGTGGTACAGTATCATGTGAATCTCTCTGCTCAGAGTATGGCGAGGCATACAGATGTTTCCTCAAGTCCTTTTACATTTATGGATCTGCCACTTGTGATCTGTCAGCCCAGATGTCACCACCTAGACAGCACGAGGAAAGAATGGGGAAGAAAGGGATATTTCGAAGCTGAAAGTTGCTACTGTGGCCAACAGCAGTGTTTAAACCTGTTCCTCTGACCATTCAGTCTCCTGCTGTTGCTGCTGCTGCTGCTGAGGCAGAAAGACCTGAGCAGAAAACTCTTATGTCTACAAACCCCTTCACCACCATTTGTGGCTTGTCTGCTGCCAATGCAGCTTGCTCAGACCCAGCTGGAGGGTGGCCTCAGTGCCCATGGGGCACACGGATTGCCAAAGCCATTTGCCATCTCAGGCTGGAAATGACAGCCCTGGCAACACAGAAGCAGAACTGAGGTGGCTGTTGGAAGTCAGATATGAAAACCACCAGTGCCCAGATGGTAGAAGTGCCCAGTGGTAGCAGAGCGTTCAGAGAAGCCTAGAGCTGTGACACTGTAAATCCCTGATAAGGACAAGAAACCCCAGCTCTAGCCAGGCACCAGAGGAAGGAGCACAACATGACATTAGCAACAAACAATTTAAGTTCCCCCTCAGTGAGATGAGGTAGCTGAGCTGGGCTGCTGCCTCGGTGGCTGAGGCAGCGGCCCAGGCAGTAGGTGCTGGGGCACACCAGCCCTGAGCTGGGCACACAGACCCCGAGATGGGCACACAGACCCTGAGCTGGGCACACAGACCCCGAGAGGGGCACACAGACCCTGAGCTGGGCACACACACCCCGAGATGGGCACACAAGCAGCATCTCCTGGCAGCCTTGCCCCAGCGGAGAGCCTGCCTGGCACCCGAGAAACACAGGACTCCTCCCCAGCCTTCCCAAAGGTTTTTGCATCCCACCACCCACAGCTGGGACGGTCCCGGGGTCTCTCCCGGGGGTGCTCCCGCGGGACCGGTGCCTGTCAGGGCTCAGAGAGCCCAGCCTGGCCCGTGCCCCGCCTGGTGCCGAGCCCCGCTGGCCTTTGCTGATGCCCTCGGTGCCCTCACGGTGCACAGCCCGCTCGGGCAGGGCCGGGCGCTGCTCTCGGCCCCACTGCGGGCCAGCAAACCGGGGCCAGCAAACAGTGGCCAGCTGCGGAGACTTCCCATCCCCCGGGCCCCGGGAAAAGCCCCCAGCCCCGCTCCCGGCCCCTTCCCCTGGCAGCGATCGCCGCCCGGGCCCGCCGCGCTGCCCTTTCCTCTGCTGCCTCCCGGCGGCACCGCCCGAGCGGCTCAGGATCCCCGATGGGCTCGCAGGAAGGCTTGTGGGGAAGGGATGCTAAACACCGTCCGGGCTAACCCTCTGCCGTGGGCAGGGACACCTTCCACTGGAACAGGTTGCTCCAAGCCCTTTTCGGCCTGGAGCTCGGCACATCCAGGGGCAGCCACAGCTTCTCTGGGCAGCCTGTGCCAGGGCCTCCCCACCCTCAGGGAAGAATTTCTTCCTCATATCCCATCTAAACCTGCTCTACTTCAGTTAAAAGCCATTCCCCTTTGTCTATTAGTGACATGCCCTTATCCGAGGTCCCTCTCCAGCTCTCTTGCACTGGGAGGTGCTGTAGAGTTTCCCCTGTAAATATCACGGTGTTTCTGTTCTCTTGCTTATCTGATAGACCAAAGATGCTGAGTTCAGTTGGTGGGCATTGCACCATTATGGGTACCCAGGAACAGGCAGGACTTGCTGTAGCAGGTAGAGGTTGTGCACTGCCCCTCTCTGAAAACAAACGAGGCAGAGCTGAGGATAACCACTGGGCACAGGCTCCGTGGATGGAACTTCCCTTGAGCTCAGCAGAGATAAGCCCATGACTGTAAAGGCTTGGTTCAATGTGTCATGTGAGGCATGACTCCGTGTCATGGAATGTAGTGCAGTGGGTGAGGGAAATACAGTTTGGTATTTCTGATTTTTCCCAAGCACCTGTTCTTCTGAGGGAAAATTATTCTTGCAAACATAAAAAGCAAAAACAAAAGAACTGAGGCAAAACACACAGAACTTATGAATGTGCAATTTATATGTTGCTAGGGTATGTCAGACCTCCTCTTGAAAGTGTTCACTGAAAGCAAGCAAAATAAATGGTCTCTGTTACGACTGCAAACACTTTACAGCAGGTGATTTTCTGAGGATTTCACCAGAATGTAGAACAATGCAGTCCTAATCCATTTAACTTCAGCTTTTAAGTAACAGCAGTTGCAACTCCCCTCTGTACTTCCCTATGGGCACACTTAAAAACAAGTGTGGAGATAAAAATATCTTTGTGGAGCTCTTGCTCTTCTGACACCCTCACCATTCTTGTTGGCACGTTTCAGCTCCTCACCAAAGATGTGAAGCAGCGGCTGGGATGTCAAGGGGAAGGTGCAGCAGAAGTGAAGAGACACCCCTTTTTCAAGAGCATGAATTTCAAGCGGTTAGAAGCAGGAATGCTGGATCCTCCCTTTGTGCCTGATGTAAGTACAATAGCAAGAACCCCCAGTGGCCGCTTTTAAGAGGTTTGTTTTTAAAATAGCTTCTCTCTCTCAGGGCTGTCATCGCTGTCTGCATGGGTAGTTACCCCAGGAAGGTGTGGAAAGTCGCAGGGCTGGAGTGGGGAGGCTGGGAGGAAGAGGAGAGAGGGCTCTGTGGGCATGTGGGTGCAGGCTGGTAACCTGGGGCTTGATCCATTCCCTCTCCTTTTGCCATAGCCTTCCTGTACAACACTGGAGGCACTGGGAACCTTTGTATTCCTTTGTCCACGGTATTAACTGTGAAAGTAAGTGTGCTCAGAACCAGGTGGTGCTTGGGACAATCAGCAGTGAAAGCCACATGTGTGCATACAGCTTTATAGAGGCAAAACCAGAAATACAAAGTCCAGAGCTCTGTGGAACTGGCTCATCATGAGAACAGTGGTTTGCTACAGGCTCAGCTATCAAGTGTCACCTCAAGCAGAGAAGGTGACTCGGACCTGAGAGAGCATTTGGAGCTTTTTGGTGTTCATGGGGCATGGAACCCAACACTGAGTCCTTACCCAGATTTACACACCAGGCTCACACATACTGAAAGTCTTTGTTGCATTGGCAACAACAAAACTTTTTCCACCCTTTTGTGGTATCGGTTTCTAGCCCAGTGCACAGAGTTATCTGATTATTTCCCTCCTGCAGGGCTCTCTTTCTGGCTGGAGCTTCTATCCTTAAAGTCCCCATATGGTTCTAAGTAAACACTGCCATTTTAACATATTAAGGAAAGTAACATCTTGGCAGCTCCCATTCCCCTTGCTGCAAGCTCAACCAAACCAAAGTGGTTTGAACACTACAAAAGTTTACTTTAGTTGCCTGGTTTTGCTTTACATTTTACTATGTGGCCTAGTTATTCCTGCCAATTAGTCTGTATGACCTGTTTTAGTGGGAAGAAATAAGAGACAAGCTACTATTTCTTTCTGATGTAGAAAATTATAAAATTCTGGGCTCAAATTTGGGATCTGCCAGAGTGCATAAAAACTGTGGAACGTAAGGCCTAGAAGGCACCTCTTGGGGACATATTTACAAAAGCAAATGCACATAAATTTTTATGGCTATTTATTGTGAGCTCAAGAGCTGCCCCTAATTCAATTTATTTGGCACTTCATCCACAGATCTCCCAGTCTTTACTGAAGTCAGCTGAATCACCCAAAGCTATATAGCCAGTGGCAGAGGTTGTTATCAAGACCATGTCTCTCCATCCTCTTCTACATTACTCCATCTCCACAAAAATGTTGTGGATTGCAGCTGTCAGGAATGCAGAGGGATACAGCCTTCAGCAAATATGACTTCTGTCAGGAATTAAGTCAATTTGTCTGGTCACAGCGCTCAGAACTAGATAAATAAAGTACTGCACTGTTGGACCCTGGGCAGCTCAGTCCTGGTACCACGGATAGACAGCAGGATCCCACATGTTCTGGGGTTCAGCAGCTCTGGCTGGTCCCACAAGGCACCCCTCAATTATCCCTGCACATCAAAGGGTGGCTGTGCCATTGGTGGGAAATCTCTGGGCACACACACTGCCTGTGATAGGTAGCCACAGATGACTCTTTCTGCTCCCTGGGGATGGCTGCTGGAATATGAGCTGAAAGTTGCATCACTGCAAAGAGTTTTGTCTCTGTCATCCTAGAAAATTAAGTAGTTCAAAAAGGCAAAGCCATTTGACTGTTTTTTTTTGAAGAAGTGCAGCCAAGTTAAAAGAGTTAATAGAGGTAATTCTGGACAGCTTCCAGCAGCTGAGCTATTAATAAAAACAATGGAGAAATGCCAAACCTCCTCTGTTTTCTTTAGCAATTAGGATGCATTCCTTTAAATTTTTAAGCTGCAAACTCCATAGCTATCTGGACAGGAGGGCACTTCCATCTGAGGCCTCTTTTCAGAACTCTCTTCAGTGTGCCACTCTAAACATTCTGGTTTTCTGTTGTTCCCTCTCTAAATGAAAAGACTACTGAAGGGTTCCATTTTTCTTTTCTGGCTCTTTCTGTCCTTTTTCTCTCACCTCTTAACCACATGGTACATGGATGACTAAAACCCACTTTGACTGATGCTTTGAGGACTTCAGAATAGGAAGCTTAATGTGCTCAAAGTGAAGTCAGCCTTTGATGATAAACATGCGGGCATGTGTGTCTGGAGAAGGAGGATGCAGACACACACTTGTTAGACATTCTCACTTGACTGAATCTGTGAATGAAAGCACATGGTCCGACTCAAAAATATTTTTCCTCTTGTCATTTCTCCTTTTTTTTTCTGCTGACATAGCCCAGAGCAGTGTACTGCAAGGATGTGTTAGACATTGAGCAATTCTCCACAGTGAAAGGAGTTAACCTGGACCAAACAGATGATGATTTCTATTCCAAGTTTTCCACAGGATCAGTGTCTATTCCATGGCAAAATGAGGTAAGGATCTATCATAGCAAAATTACTGCAATAAACCCCGTAACACAGATGGTTTAAGAGGAACTCTATGTTTCCAGTAATATATAGCTACTGGATAACTTGCCAGACTCTAATGCTTTCATGAGTTCCGAATGGCCTCTTTCAAGCTCTGTAATGTACCACAGATGTCAGCTTCAGGTGACTGTATCTGTTGGCTCTGTGTATTTGTGTAAATTGGCAAGGATCCTACTGTACTTCCTCCTCCTGGATTTCTACAGAGGTGTTTCCACAGCTCTCAGCTCCTTCTGTGGTACAGTTGGAAATCCTTAATAGAAGGATCCTCCACTGGTGACCCTGCTGTCACCCATTGTCTGCAGTCAGTCCCAGCTGCAGCAGTTAACTGCAGCATTTCCATATCTGGGTCTTTGTTTCTGTTTGACATCAAAACACAGCCAACAGTGGATTTCAGAATCTAGCTCTGCATCAAACAGCAGATCCACTTGGGCAGAGGGGTGCTAATAACTGGGATTTTGTGAGAGTGCCTGTCTTTGGCTGGTATTCTCTACAGTGCTAAAGGAAAGAACAGAAAGTCTTGTGGGGCAGCTTCTGACAAGTCTGATGTGCAATCACGCAGAGCAGACTCAGCCTCTGCTTTTCATGCACTCTATTTGCCCTCTACAGACAACAGCAGGAATCCAACTGTTAACTCTCCTCACACACTGCTGACTTTGAAGAACCTAGCACTACTAGAATTTATTTAGTGCAGATGAATAATTCTATTTTTCTCTCTCTCTCACTGCATTCCACTAGATGATAGAAACAGAGTGCTTCAAGGAGCTGAATGTATTTGGACCAAATGGTACTATTTCACCAGACCTAAACAAAAGCTACCCCCCAGAGCCGCCCAAGAAAGGATTGCTACAGAGAATATTTAAGCGACAGGTGAGACCTTTTATGACTAAGACCAGGAAACTCTGCCTACTTTCACAGCCCTATTCTGGTGATATTTCTGCTAGGAGAAAGGCAGTGCATCTTAGAAAGGGCTGGATTTCACATTTACCTCCATATCTCAAGTTTTTCATCTACCTTGTTTGATATTTTTTGCCACCAGCAGTTCCAGTGTTGCTTGTGAGTTTTGTTTCCAGCAGTTGAAAACTTCTTACCCAACCTATTTTTCAGTGCTATACTGAAATGCCTTTTGAAACTGTTCAATGGTTTTGAGAAGCTCCTTGTGAAAATCCTTGATTTATGTGTTTAAAGAAAAAAGGGCAAATGCACATTTTGAGGGAGGTAGTTGTGGCAGGAAAGCAAGACAATAAAGAAGAGAGAAACCCAGATAAAAATGTGATGTGCAGCTTTCATGAGGCACCATGGCACCACTTGCAAATGTTAATAACATTCTTAGATTGGTCTGTTTCTGTAGAGTTAAATGCCTGAGCATTGGCAGGTATCCTCTGTATTAGTCAGATTTAGCAGATACTGACATTTTGCAGTGAATTGATTTGGCTCCTGGAGCTCAAGTGAGTCTTCTTTGCTGCATTCCTCGAGAACTGCCATGGTTCTGCTGACCTAGAGACACTACAGGTAAGAAAGTGAAGAATATTTTGCATCTGAAGATCTTTAAACAACAATCTTGCAGTCCAGTCAGTACCATAAAATGAGCAATGTTGGATTAAAAATAAAACCATGGCATATTATGGGAATCTAATTCTCATTTTCTTCCTCTTCCTACAGCATCAGAACAATTCAAAGAGTTCTCCAAATTCAAAGGCCAGTTTAAATCATCACATAAATTCAAATCACGTAAGTTCAAACTCCACTGGAAGCAGCTAGTTCCAGCTCAGTCCTATGAAACAACATGTTGCATCCTTCCACTATAATCTCTGGAGCTTCTGTGGATTGAGAGAGCCTCCACCATCAAGTGAAAAAAAGAAAATCTGGATCTCCCAAAATGGAGATTTTCTATCCATTCCTTCCAGTGGAGCCTCACATTTTAAGAAGAAATTTCCACTCAGGTCTGTTTTTGGAGGTGGCACTCAAGACTGTGTGAATCAAATTTGTCTCTTTAGAACATTGCAATAGAAATTCAATGAACATGACTACTTGCACGTATTTAAATAGCATCATACTAGAACTGAATTTTGTCTTTATTATTTTTAAAGAAAAGTTTTGTAAATTTCTCTATTGTCTCAGTTTACATTTTGTACATTTGTATTTAAATGAAAGTCAGACTTTGGAGGTGTATATTTTCCAAGCAGCAGTTGTAAAGCCATGTGTTTTAAGACATTTTTTTAAAAGAAACAAAATGTGACTCAAGACTTCCAGAGCCTCAAATGAGAAATCATTCTTTTTAGCAACTCTAGAAAATTCTTCATAAATCACTTTATCAGACGGGGGTTTATTGACATGCATTTTTATGGAACAGTTTATTCTTAATTATTTTACATCTGTATATTTGGTTTACAGCAACACTGCATACATTTCTCCTATTCATTAGTTTGTAATGTCTCGCATTAAATGCTAAAAGACAAGATTTGGATGCATTCAAGAATGCTACTTGCTACGCTGAAGGTTTGTGATGTCTTGGGACCAGCACAGCTGAGATTTGCACTTACGTTGTTATTCCATCAAAGGCCTTTTAGTTAGAAAGGGAGCCCTGTTTTAATCTCTTTTCCTTCACTAGGGTTGTGCTGTTTCTAACAACAGATGGAACAAAGCTGAGGGAGAGGTGACCAGGAAAGCAAATGTCCATTTATTTTTCTAGGACTTCAAACCTGCACCTGCTGAAATGAGAGCAAAACTCAAAGTATTCTCCATGCTGCAGTCAAAAACCCAAGGTCTTGCCACAGCTGCCCATATCAAAGAGGCAGCAGGAGAGAAGTTCAGCAGTCTGGTTTATGCCAGCCATAGAGATTTGTGACAGCTTTGTAGAGCTGAGCTGTGGAGATTCAGAGTGGGATCTGAGCTGCTTTTGGGCAGTAGCAGAATTTACAGGCTGTCCCTGCACTTAAAATACTTCCATGTGTCATGCAAGCGTCCCCTGACACATCCACCCAGTTAGATCCCCAACTGAATAAAATGCCAGTATGAAATAATAACTCCCACTTCCAGCTCCAACATTCTTTGTCCAGGATTCTTTAACCACTGACAAAAACTCTGTCCCCACCAGGATGAGCAGGATCAGGCAGGATCACTAGCAGTACCACAGGCATCAGAGTCATGTTTTTCTCAAGTATTTCATTATTATTGTTAAGAATACCTGATCAAAAATATGGTTCCTTCCCTTCCACAGGAATTGGAAAACCTTTGTGCCCCCAGCTGCAGGCAGGATCTCTACAGCCCAAAGTGTTCTGTAGAGTGTATTGGTTCCCCATACTCTTTACAATGTTGGCTAGACTATACTGATTTTTTTAAACCTTTAGGTCATCAGGAACATCTGAAAGCCACCCTGCTGTATCTAAAATTCTTTTAGCCAGTAGTGGAGCTACCGCGGGGCCCAAGGAAGCAATGTTCCAGTGGGAGTCTATAGCCAAAATACATTAAACTGCCATGTGTGTGTTCTGTGTGGCCAGTGCTGAGGGGGAAGAGGATGAAGGTTAGTAGTGGCAAATTCCTGAGTGCAAAACACACAGAAATGGCAAAGTAAAGCAGCTTGGAGTTGTGAGACAGAGAGACAGAACAGGGACTTGCATAGAGCAGCTGACAGAGAAAAGTCAAGACAGGGAGATGAGGCTTCAGCCATTCTCCCATGTCAGATTCTGGCATTGCAGATCTTATAGAAGATGCAGGATTTTAGAGATTCCTAGAGAGATGCCATAATTTGGCATGTGAAGACTAAAATTTTCATTCTTTACCATCTCCCAGTATTGAGAAATACCAGTAAATCCCTTACTGAAAGCTGGTGAACAAATTGAAAATGTTGATTATAGCTGGTCTTACACTTTTTAGATGCTACTAGGCTTAACTAGTGGTGGATGACATTTTAGGGACAGCAGTGAATGACAGCACTTGTGCCTTGTCCTGCTCGCCTTTCAGTGAGGAAAGTCCTCACTCAGCAGCTCTAGGAGCCTGGCAGTGGGGATTTAGGGACAGTGCAAAGTCCTGGAAGGATGAGAGCACTCTTTCTCCTTGGATACCTGGAGGACATTATGCTAGGGTTGGATATCCTGAATTCTCGAGGTGGCACGGAAGAAGGGTGCTTTATGTGCACCTGAAGGCATCGAGCCTGGGATGGAGCCCCTCTGAATCCCACCTCCTTGGAGCAGTGAGAGAGGAAGGGGAGAGACAGAAAACACCACCAGTAGAGGGAGGTTTCCTGCCACATCCCTTGAGTGTTTCTGTCCTGTCTGACAAACTACAAACAGTATTACCATGATGGGGCAGCAGAACTTTCCAGCACTGAGCCCTGGAAGACTTAAAATCCATCAGAAGTGCTAATGACCAGTCCTAGGGATCTTCTTGTCACAGTTTGCCTACAACAACAAAACCTGCACGATTTTTTTTTATTGCTTGTTTTTGTTGGGATTATTTTTGGTTTTTTTAATTTTTTCCGCTTACCTTACACTCAAAGCTGGAGTAGGAGCACAGTCCTTGCATGTTCATTGTGTAACCAGGTACAATTTGTGCCCAGAACTCAGGGCTGAAGCCCTGTCAAGGCAGTGCCCTGCACAGCCAGGCTTCCACAGGCATTTGGCCATTGGATCCGTGGAGTCAAATTAAAAAAATACCTGGGAACTTTGAAAAAAAACCTTATATTTTCATCATACAACCTTGGAGAGCATTTGCAATGAGATTTTGAGCATTTTGATTCCAGGTGAATTTTGAGATGGGTTTGCACGTAACAAAGTAGTAGAAAGGAGTAGTTCTGTAATAGCTTTCCAGACTGATTTATTTTCTCCATCTCCGCTTCACTTACCATCCAAACTCTTTCAAAAAAAAAAAAAGCATATGCTCAGATCTGGTTGTTTGTTTTAAATAGATAGATGAGCAAAATTAGCTCTTTTTTAAGAATCAGTAATCTTTTGCAATCTGATCCTGAATTATGCAAGCATGCCTTTTATTTTTAAATCTTTGTTGAGTAGTCTGATGAACACTAATTAGTTGACAGACTTTCATGAGTCAGGTGTTTGCTATTCATTTTCTGCAGTGTCTCAAGGTTCACTTGAGTCTTGTAGCATTTTCCCACTGTTGGATGAGAGGCTTTTTTTAAACAACAGAATAATGAAGGAAAAAAATAACAAACTCTTAGATGTGCACTCTTGACCTGGATTATCTAAAAAGAGGTTTTTCACAAGAATGGCCATGACTCAGATGTTGTTTCTGAACAAAAACCTGCTTGTGAAGCTCAGAGAGGTGTGAAGATAATCAAACCAAACAGGTAGAGCTGTTCAAACTGAGTGTTAGGGAGCTGCAGAATTCAATATCGCAGCGTTCACCTGGCCCTGCTCATTAGGGACTCCTGGTTCCTGCCAGTTCAGAGACATAACAGCTCTCCATAAACACAGCTTGATACCACCTCAATTTGCAGTCACCCCAGAAACCGTGGCTGAGAGTGCCATCAGCGCTAGGAATCAAACTTGGCTGACCCAGTAAAGCACCTAATGTGAAGACATTGATTCTTAAGGTCATTCACCCAAACCTCAGGATCCAGCTTGAATTCTTTATTCACATTTCAAATCCAGTTGATCTTTTTCAGTGGCCATGCCTCAAATGAAAAAACCAACAGGAAACCAACCTGCATTAGTGGTAAAATCACAGTCAAGATGAGGAAGATGCAGAAGCTGTGAGCTCTGGAGGACAGTGTGTAAAGTTCACAGTGTGTGAATATTCTGGGTGCAGTGGCAGCTGGTACTGCACAATTTTCCTTGGGGTCATCATGTGTTGGTCAGAGTTCCTTCAGTGGCCGGGGAACTGCACGCACAAGGGTCTGGCCCATGGCACAAAGACAACGTTGTCCCTCTGGGGGTCAGAGGGGACAGCTGGATGAGGCAAGTAGGAATCCCCCCCCAGCCTGCATGGACAGCATCACCCAGGTCTGTGTATCCCAGCCTCAGTCAGGAGCTCCCTGCACAGGCTTTTCTGGAAAAGCAATAAATGCACAACCCTGCAGCACAGCTGCTGCTTCTCACCAACGTCCGTGGAACAGGTGGCTGCAGGAACTGGCTCCACCATGAGCAAGATGTGAATGTTTTTACCCCTGCTCCAGTCAGTTGTGATCATCATTTTGTTCAGTTAATATTTGTCATATTCACTTAAGTTATTCAGTGCAGAGAGGTTCATTGGTCAGGCATTTCCCATACAATCTTTGGAAAGAGTGGATTTTTCTTTGGAAGAACATCCCATCTGTCTCTTGGCATGTGGACCACCTTCCATCATGTGGACGCCTGCAGGAGCTCATGAAGTCCATATTTAAAGGCTGTCCTGCCCAAGGATGGTCCCAGTCTGTCTCAGGCTGCAGGGAGGTTCATTTGGCAGTGAATTCTGGAAGAATCAGTCTGTTCAGCGGCTCCATGGAAATCCATGGAAATCAGGAGATTCCAGAGTTGTCAAGCCTTTCACAAATATGACCTTTAACTTAAAATACTACTAAAGATTTAGACTGAGGAGAATAATTACAAACACCCTCATGCTAAAGTTTAGAGAAATTCTGCATCAATTTAAAACAACTCCTCTTTTGTGTGCTGGGCAGGACACACTTCCTTTTATACTAAATAATATTGGAGTGCTGGCTGGTAATAATTGTCTTTGCCTAAATGCAAAACCCAAAAAGATAAAGAAATTGGTTCAGAATTTCATCAAAGAAGCTGAAAGCCAACAATATGCTACAGTAATATGGGCTGACCTCCCCCAAATGTCTCTGTGATAATACAAATACAATCTGCTGCAGTTGGATCAGCTAAGCTGCTGCACTGACAAATGGGCTTTATGAAAGAAACAATTTTAAACAGATTGCTGCCTATTCATTAACATGAATATTACTGCTGGCACATATGTATTCTCCTTGCTTTATATACTGGAGCCAGGAGTGATGGTTTGTATTCCTATTCTGACTGTGTTTTTCTTCACTGCCCTGGGCAAACCTCTGTGAAATTTTGTTTTCCCATTCCCAAACATGGAGGGATGCTCTCTGTCTGTCAATGGAAAGCACTTTGGAGTCTGGGCATAAACCAGATCAGTATCAATTCTTTGTATTAATATTTAAATGAAATAGGCTTAGTGTAGCTGCTCTTTATTTACATGACTAGTGAGACGACTCTCCTAAACTAGGACTCTTTTTATTATTGGTTTGTCTTAGTTCCTTAGAGATACTGAAACAGAACAAACTGCACTTCTGTAAGACATCTCCAGCAGACAAAGAGGTGACAGTGCAAATGTTTAAGTACTCATTTCTTGCTGAAGAGCTGGCCAGTAATTGTGGCATTCACATGAAAACATTTCCTCTGTTTTTAGAAGGGAGATAAACAGTTATGAAGAAGGGAACAAAATAACATTCATGGGTTCAACTTTTTTAGCCAAGCCTGCAGAGGATTCCCGAGGTACCCATTGAGTGAGGGGCTGTGTGAAGCCCCAAGGATGGATCTGAGACAGACTGGGTCTGGGAGCAAAAGAGACAACATGCCTGGGGTCAGTGGGCTCCACAGGGGAACTCCAGGTTTTCTGGAGCAGTCCCATGGAGAAGATTCACTCCCAGAGAAGAAACATCTCAGGTGGTGGCGGGATGGCAAATGTGTTTTCCTTTCTCATCACCCCACATGCAGCTGTTGGATATGTTAATTAGTGAGCTCAAACGAGTTGTTTCATGTGTATTGAATGCGGTCTCCCTTAATTCCATTTCTTTTAAACACTGGACACTCTTCTAAAAGACTGAACATTTTAGCCTTTTGAAGCTGAAAGCTGTAAAAACTTTATTTTGTGTTTCTGAGCAATGTAGATAGACCTAAAGATTTCATGAACTATCATGTGGTTGCCCATATCTGACTAATAATTAAATTGTAAAATTGCAGTTTCATATTAGGGTTAGTCTTTTCACCTGCTTTAAAAATTAAATCATATTTGGTATATAAACACACACAGAATATCCTTCTGATTGAATTTCAAGAGCATATCCAGGAGTAAATGTTTTAAAGCACTTCTAATACTGTAGTCTATAAGAGGAGCAGACACTTCTAAAGCAATGTTAAAAGTTGTCTTTCATAACTGAGTCAACAGATCATTTTTGTAATAAATTAAAGCAAGTGTTCTCAATTAGAAGAGCTAGTGGCTGTTGATATTGTATAAAAAAAAAGTCATTCTAATTTCCAAAGGGTTAGGGGTGGGGAGGGTCTGTTTGGTTTTGTTTCTCTTTCCAGGGAGATCTTAAACATTGTTTGATGAAGCTAGTTTCATTTTGAGATTGTTACTGAAGATAAAGGCTTCTGTGTTCTATGGCTGCTTGGATTCTTCGTACATAATGTCCTAGTAATGTCACAGTGCTGCTGTATTTAGATCAAACCACTGTTTTGATTGGGTTTTTTGGCTTTTTTTTTTAATAAATTCCTTAATTTAAATACATGAAAATTATATGTTTTGCTTTAATGAGGCACCTAATCAGATTCCTCAGGTCCTTTGGATCCTGAAGATGGTTGCAGTGAGAGTGGGGTGCAGCCCATCTCTTCCTGGGTGCCTTTGTGGCTTCACCTGGTTTGTGTTTTCTGTCCCACCACATCTTCACAGGGGTTGAGGGAACCACAAACCAACCTGAGGTCGTACCTCACTTTATGCAGCTTCTGGTTCTCCTCAGGTTGTGTTTTCCCTGAGACCTCCTTCCCTCCCCTGCCTCCCACCCTCTCCTCCCCATCTGCACCATCAGCCAGGGCAAGTTTTGCAGCCTCGGGGGTAAATTCAGGGAGAGGGTGACAAAATCACGGCAGGGGCTTCAAAAAGCATGAGCTCTGCTTTTAAAATTCAGCTTTTGCCTGATTTATGAGGCCCTACTTTGCCTAAGCTCCAGTCAGACAGAGAGAATTTATTTACAGAAGGAAAACAACAACCAGCCAGGGGTGCTGTACACTGTTCCACACAGGTAGATCTAAAACAGAGATAAAGAGTGGCTGCAAAAGCACCAGCAGGAAAGTAGTGATGCACTGCTTTTTCTTTAAGAGGAGAAAGAAGTATTTTTCAAAGAGGCATAAAGAATATTTTTATGAGACTACTAATGGCAAGCAGTGTCTGCATCAAGTTTCACAGAAGAACATTGAGAAAACAGATTATCTGCATGAAAGAAGCAGCTACATCCAACAGCTAAACTCAGTAAAACCCAAGGTAATAAACTATATAAATTCAGGTCATGCATATTATCACTTTCCAAACAAACCCAAGCCATTTTTTTCACAAGGTTTTAGCACTCTGAGGGGCTGTGAGATGAAATTTTATTTCTCCCCTTAGCAGCTCTTGGTGTTTTGTTGGGATTTTTTCTCTCTGTAACTTCATGTCCTTTCTGTGCGGCAACATCTAGATATGTTCCCTCCTGGGGGATCCAGTCTTCTTAGACTTTTCCACTATCTCTGACATGGGATGCACAGCTTCTCAGAGGAAAGTCATGACACTATTTTGAAGAAAATCCAATTTAAAAGGCATGTCAACTTTTTTTTTAATTCCTTGGGGTGCTTTACAGATGAAAAATACCATAAATGGGCCTGACTGTGAAATTTCAGGTCTATGGGGTTCTTCTGGGAGAGGGAACACTACAAGTTTCTGCCAAGACAGAGCCTGTTTTTTGGGGATTTGAAATTCTGCTTCACATTTGTTATTCAGTAAAAGTGAAAAATAAAATTTAAATATGGCCTGTTAAAAACTGGTGATCTGAATTGTCTTGAGTGGAGAAGAGGAACTGCCAGGAGGCTGAGCAGCTTAAATAGCCCATTTACAGATGCTTGGGTAAATCACAGAACCACAGAATCATTAA